GTGGTGGTGGTGGTGGTGTGGGTGTGGTAGGGGTAGTGGTAGTGGAGCCACCTGATAACTGTGCTGCAGATTTGGCTTACATCCAGCAAAGGAAATATTGAGACATGATCCAGTATACACAGCCGGATTGTGGTTAAACTTCACCAGTTGCGCAACCCTGTGCCCCACATCCTGACCCCACAACCGCTATAGAAATCAAAACAGAACAACAGAGTGCCCTTGGCGTTTAATTAATTACTGGCAGCCTGCGCCAGCGCAGGCAGGTTCAGTGAAACTTCGCGTATCAACTACATGTGTATGTCTAGTGGGAATGAACATATGTGCAGGTTTGCTTCCATGGTTGCATCTGAGCTACACTACACATCAGAAAATGTCGCAGAGGCTGGAACATTGTTCCATTTTTTGGAACTTAAGTGTCCCTAATAATGTAGAAACCACATGAATAGTGAAGCGTGAGCTATCCTGCGTCCATGGTAGTAGCGTACTAGTAGCTAGTAGCTTACCAGTCCCTTACTTAATAAAGTAGGGAGCAGGGGGAGCGGGCTTTGAAGGATATGTCTAGCTGCCATCGTTTAGGTTCTTCAACGACTCGCTGAAGTTTCAGATCGGCAGGTGCGAAACATCCATTGCAAAGGGAAGACATTGGTCAAGAGATGCAAGGGTAGTTGCCAAGACCTAAGGTCCCCCCAAAAAAGAGGCAAAAAAGGAAAGAACACAGAAAACAGGTTTAAGTCAAAAGACAAAAGAGGAAGGAAAACAAGTTAAAGAAAGAACAAGTACAGGAAGCAGCATTCTTGTTTCTAGTAGCAATCAATAGCTGAGGCCAAGACCCAAAGCTGTGAAAGCATCCCTGGAACTCCTCTAGTAGCAGTGGAACTGCGGACAGTTGATTTCAAAGCAAGCGGTTCGATTGCCTTGCTTTATCACACGAGGGAATGATTTGTCAGGGGCTGCCTATGCCAGAAGCTGCTGGCGAGGCAGGCGATCTCGCATCGAGGTGGCAGGCAGGAGATGCCTAAAGAGATACAAATCTTGTACCTTACTAAGTATGAATTTCTATGAAATATTTTACGCACGTGAGAACATATAAATTTCCTTCGTCAAAAGTGCCTTTCCGTGAGCTGCGCCTTCGGAGGCGGTGGTGGAGGTAGCGATAGTCAACCCCGAGCTCGACTCGGATGTGGCCCTGGTTACAGTCCTTTTATTTTATTATTTACCAGGCTACCGCCTGCAGCCGCCGACCCCCAAGGGATAGAACCTTAGCGCTAGCCTTGCTCTAGCGAGAGAGGTGGGGTGAGGCGTGACTGTCGAGGTTAGCCTTAGCCTTAGCCTTAAGCCTTAGCCGTAGCCTTAGCCTTAGCCTTAGACTTAGCCTTAGCCTTAGACTTAGACTTAGACCCTACCTCCCCTACCCCTCCGGACCCGGGTGTTGTTGTAAAAGGGAGTTGTAGGAGTTGCCCTATTTTCTTCCATTGTTGTAGAATTATCTAGCACTTCCTCTTGCATTTAGGTTCCCAGATTTGCCCAAAAATTGATTAACCTATTGTTAACCTATTTGATTCGAGTGTTCCCGGCCAATGCCCTGGAATTTTCCTAGGAATGCTCTAGGCTTTGTTTAGATTTTGCGCTGGACGAGGTCCGGCCAGTGCCCGTGGTAACGTGAAAGGCTCTGGTAAGATTTTCGCATGCCCGTCAGGCGCTCGTGTCCGCGCCATGTGGCGTGTTGGTTCTAGGATGGAGCGGCGCAACCGGAAGCTCGGGCACGCGCGCGTGGCGGAATGTCTGCAGTGCGGTAGGCCGGGGGGGAGGGGGGGGGACGGAAGGGTGTGGAAGCGGGTGGTTCCACGGTAGGAGGAAGGACGTTGCCCTGGATGTGGGGAGGGTAGGGTTTCCTGGAGCACCCCTTGAGCAAAATGCAGGAGTGGATTAGCATTTTTCAGGGCCAAGCCGGGAACCCCAAACAACCTTTAACATCATAACGGCCATTCTTGTGTCTCGGGTTCCCTCGCTCTCACAAAAACACGCCAATGCATTTGCCGTGCTCTGTTCTGCCTACTTTGGGAACCCGGGGAGCGAAGATGTTGCCCCACCCCCTGGCCAGGGTTCAAAACTGGATCCCGCAAAGGAGGGTTCGGTGGGTTCCACGATAGAGGACGCGTTGTGTTCGCCCCGTGGCCGCGCAGGGCGCTGCCCATGGTATATAGGATACATCCAAGTGCCACAATTGGGAGCGCAGTGATCACACCAGCCACTTCCCTGGGGGTCGGCGTCGGCCTGGTAGGGGACCCGGGAACCCAGGATGTCGCCCATATACACCCCCCTGCCAAGGGTTCCAAACCGGGGGTGCGCGTTGTAGTGTGTGTCCCCTACCAAAGCATCCCCGTCTATGCCCCCTGTCCAGGCACTATCTATCACCGAGGAGCCCTTGCAGGGCAAACTGCAAAGGTGGGTTCCACAGGACGCGTAGTGGTCTGCGTCCCGTGACGATAGAGGACGCGCTGTAGGTTGCTGATGCGTCGAAGCGGTAGGGCGCGGTATGTACTGCGGCCTACGACGGAAGGAGCACCTCTCCCGGGCAGGTGCGTTCCACCGGCGCGTAGGCGTGAGTACAACAATGGAATAAAATTGGTTAGCCAAAGCCTAGAGCATTCCTAGCATCCAATCGCAAACGTAACAACATCTAGACAAAGCCTAGAGCATTCCTAGGAAAATATTGGAAAAGCATTTGAAAGGTCCATAGGTTAGCGAAAGGTTACCAATTTTCGGGAAAAATCTGGGAACCTAAAAACAAGAGGAAGCGCTAGAAAATTCTTGG